CTTTGGTTTTCTTTTCTGTAAAACATGGGGGCTCTACTAGAAAATCTCAACAGGTGCTTCCAGCTGGGTGACCTCTGGCCAGCTATGGGGACTTCCAGGTCTCTCTCCTCATCTGTGTACTGCAGAATAAGAGTAGATGATCTATAAGATTCCTCCAAGTGGACATGTTTGAAGAAACTCCCTACTAAGGCCAACCCAAAACAGAGAGAAGGAACTGTTAACCAGGTTTCAGGAGGTCTTCTTGCTCTGACTCCTACTGCCTCCCTGGGCCTGACACAGGGCTGGGGCACAGAAAAAACCAGGAACCCCATTCTGCAGGGTCATCTGTCCAGCCTCCCTCATGTGCTTCACCAGGCTATTGCCCGGGTAATAAATGGCCCCAGCATAGAATCACAGAGGGGCAAAATATGGGGGGAAGGACAAGCCTTTCATGCTAAGGCCAAGCCCCAGGAGGATTTAAAACATACGACTGCTCCTCACATGAGCTCGTCCTTCTAAATCACTCCTCTCCACAAGGGTGGCTCCATGACTAAGCAAACTGTTCTCTCACAACTAGTAGCCCACCATTGTCCTTAAAAGGTGTCTACCATTTAATGAGCACCTACTATGTGCCAAACACTTTATATATAACCTTGCTAAATAACACAGTGGGAAGGTGGGTGGTTACTATCTCTACATTACAGATGAGGCACCTGGAACTCAGAGAAGCGAATGAACTAATCACCCAAGGTCACACAGATTGTAAGCAGCAGAGTCACAATTTGAGTCCAGAAAGTCTGATTTGAATCCATCCTCTTTCTGCTTTCTGCGAAGCCCTGCTGGCACAGTGGTTACGAGCTCAGCTGCTAACCAAAAGGTTGGCAGTCTGAATCCACCAGCCACTCCTTAATAACCATATGGGGCAGTTCTACTCTGTCCATAGGGTCGCTATGAGCTGGAATCCACTTGACAACAATGGATTTTTCTGGTTTCTGCTTTCTAATACTTCCTTGTGGATATTTAAAGAAGTGACCTAGAAGTCACTTAAAACTCTGCCATGGTGCCTGACTCTATACTAGAATATCCCTGACTTCCTTGTTACCTCCAGTGACAGGGAGCTCATCACTATGCTGGAAGTCCTTGTTCATCAGCTCTGCTGTTATTACATTGCCCTTACCCAACCCTTATGAATTCCACTCTCTGGCTCCAGCTCTGCTCTTTGGACCCCACTGAACAAGTCTGATCTTTTCTCCATGAAGCAAAACTAGGTACTGAAAACTACTAAAATATCATCCTTTGCAAATCTTTTCTTTCTGAGCTTATATAAGTAGCTGTCCTATTCTGTGTCTCACATTACCAACTAGCCCAGAGGAAAAGGTAATTATTGTGTAGTTAAAACACACAAACAAAACAAAAACATAACCCTAGACCTGGGATTTCCTGTCATCTTTTTTGGGCTCCTCTTCTTCGGCTGTGCCCTTAAAAGCTGGTGTTCTGAAGGGTTGTGTCCTTAAAAGCTGGTGTTCTGGAGAGTTCTGCCTTTGCATGCTTCTCTCACTATGCACTCTCTCCCGCTGTGACCTCACCTCTCCCATGGCAAATGACTTCCAAATCGGGATCTTCAGCTTGAAATGCTCTCTTGAGTCTTGGACGCACATGCCCAACTGCTCTCCTAGCATATCTACCCAGATATCCCACAGGCCTCTCAGCTTCAGTGTGTTTCAAACTATCAACTTCAACTAACTCAAATGATCACAAGCCGCTGCAAATGCCCCTCCAGCAGTCCCATCACGGGAGGAGAGCCCAGAGACCGTCCTTCCCCATCATCACCACTACCAGCCAGTTACCAAGTCCCATGGATTCTCCTTCCTTAACGCATCTCAGATCCACCACCAACCATCACACCTTAGTTTAGGTCCCACAATTTTAACAGGACTGACTCACACTTCTCTCCAAGCCTAGTCTATGTGGGAAGACTTAGCCCAATGCCTGGTACCTAGATAGCACGCACTAAACAATTGTTTGAATAGCTCTCTACCCACTGCTGTCAAGTCGAGCCCAACCCTATAGGACAGAGGAGAACTGCCCAATAGGGTTTCCAAGGATGTAAATCTTTACGGAAGCAGGCTGCCACATTTTTCTCCTGTGCGGAGTGGCTGGTGGGTTTGAATCACTGACCTTTTGGTTAGCAGCCGAGAGCTTTAACCACTGTGCAACCAGGGCTCCTGAATAGCTCTCTATACCCCAATAAAACAAGGAAGCTCTACCTTCCAAGGATGTAGAGTATGTGGGAACTCCTAGCACTGAACTTGGAGCCTGGTGGCTACTTAATAAATAATTGGTAAATTGGTATTTGAAAGCAAAAATGGCCTAGTATGCTTCCTGTATTTCCCTCCAACATAAGGCTGACCATCTAGTACAACTTAATACTTGCAGAATTTAAATGAACCAAAGAAAACCTCCTCAGTTTATGTATGTTTTTCTAGTAAGCATTTGTAAATGAAGACTGCCCAAATCTTCTTTCTCTGATGAGTTTATAAGATGAAGCAGGTAGGCACAGTGGAAAGAGCACTAGTCTGGGAGTCAAAGTCCTTAATTTGAATCCCATTTTTCTGGTGCGTTTTTAAAAATAAAAACCAGTGTGCTCTTAAACAATAAAACACCACATAAAAAAGCAAGGCCTCAGCTTGCCTAGGTCAAATCTTTCTTTCAGCCCGTGAACCAGAACTCTGAAGTGCTCTGTAGAACATGCTGTTTATTCATAACAAATGTGTGGTTCTCAAACATGGAGAAATCACATCAGACTTAATCTTCGATGGTTAACATTCCGGTAGAATCTACAACAGATGACAGCAGGCAAGTTCCGATCTTTGCTCCAACGTGTATCAGCAGAACATGTCGAAACCTAAATTAAAAGTTTTCACTCACTTTAAAAAAAAAAAAAAAAAGCCTTGTTGGCAGTCTCCCACTGATGACATGCAACAATCTTTGCAAATGAAATCGGCTAGTCCCCTGCTTCGCTGCTAACTTTGCAGAAGTTCCAAAGCATTTCTGGAGCAAGTGATCTATTTGGACTGACAATGCCAAGCTGGGACCTGAGCCCTGAATGAGCTAAAATTACCAAAGCGAGAAGAACGTAGCTTTGGAAGCTATTCTCCCCAAGTGTGGGGTTTCTTCTAGTTGAGGGAGTGATAAAGAATGCTGACTTTTTCCAGATGAACAAAGCTGAATGAAGCCTCAAAATCCCGCTGTAGGTTTCTGTTCTGAAAAACAAGTTGCTGCCACAGAGGCTCCTGTCTCCCCTACTTCCTCTCCCAAGCGTGCAAATACACCTGTCTTCCTAAAGTTCAACACGGAATGGCTTGTGTGAACTATGTGCTGGGTACTGTGGATATAGGGACTAGAAAGATAGGCCCTGTCCTGGAGGAGCTCACTGTCTGTCAGGAAGACAGGCACATTCCCAAGTAACCAAACAAGGCACAAAATGCTCAGATCCATACGCAAGAAACAGACAAAGTGAAACAAGAGTTCCAGTGGGAACTTGGGGGCAGAGGGCGGGACAGGGAATGCCCCTGAGGCAGGTGCTTCCAGTGCCCTTTGTCCACTCCTCTATCATAGCTCTCAGAATGCTGGACTACAAACTTCTATCACGTCTGTTTTCCCCACTGGAAGCTGAGCTCCACGTGGGCAGAGGCCCCATGTCCCGTGTCAGACAATGATTAATCCATCCTGGCTACTTCAAATGAGTTCACGAAGGTGTGTTCCCAGAATGGCATGAAATACCACAGGTGTAGAGGATAGAGAGGGAATCCCTAGGTGGTGCAAATGGTTAACATGCTCAGCTGCTAACCGAAAGGCTGGAGGTTTAAGTTCACCCAGAGGCATCACAGAAGAAAGGCCTGGCGATCCACTTCCAGAAAATCAGCCACTGAAAATCTATGGCGCACAGTTCTACTCTGACACATGTAGAGTTGTCATGAGTCAGAGTCGACTCTGTGGCAACTGTTTTTTCAGGGGAAAAGGGAAAGGTAAGTGAGTCTGGAGAAGTAAGGTAGGGCTGGGGCTGGTCTGAGGAGGGCTAAGAATGCTAGGCTAAGAAGCTGAAGCTTTATTTACTAGGCAACTGGGAGCTACAGAGGGTTCTAAGGAAAGTAGTGAATTGATGAAGATAGTGTTTTAAAAGATCATTCTGACAGGAATTTGGAAAACCATCTGGAGACATAGATGAGTAAGAGCTGATACAGGCCTGAACTGGGCAATGGTAGGGGAGCTGGAAAGGAAAGCCTTAAAAGATATACAAAGCCCACTGAGCATTGGTCTTATCCTGAGCTCCCTCTCTCTCCACTGCCTGGCTTCTACATCTCTTTAGCGTTTATGTTAGGCTCCCCAGACTATAAACTCCTATGGGTAGTGCTCTCTTCCTCATCATCACTCAGACTCCTACAGAAACCTGACATGGCAGGGGTTGAAAAGTCAGCCCCTGTCTCCCTGGGCCGTGCTGTCGTTTCTACCCCAGTACCTCAGATGGGTTAGTGCACTGGTGCATTCGCTATTACCCTGCTGGGCCAGGCACACAGCAAGTAGTAACGAAACACATGACAACAAAGGTAATTTAGCACACGCAAAACATAAAAACACAGCACAGGCGCCTGGAGAAAACGACACAGAATTTTAAGACCTAGAGAAACCAGTTCTGGGCCCCTAAAAAACAAATACTCAACACCATGAACCCTGGTAGCAGGCTGGACTGCAGTTAGACAATGGGGAGCGTGCACTTACACAACCTGCTTGGGAGATAAACAGGAGTAAGGAGAGACCACAGCTCAAAGGTGAGCAAAGCCTTGAGCTCTGTGGGCCTTCCATGCAGAGTAGGGCTCCTTTGAGATTTCCCAGGAAAATGACAATTGAAGTGAGGCAAGGTGTGTATCTGCTCTGTAGAAGGGAGGCTGGAAATGGAAGAAGAGTGAGCACAGAGCTTTAAAACACAGAAACTAAAATCTTCTCCTGCCTCGAAAACTTGCCTTGAACTGTATGCTTCATGGACGGTTTCTTCATTTCCTTTTCACTCCTTCCAAGCCATGCTGTGAGGCTGACAGGAACATCAACTACTTTACAAAGGAGACTGCCAAATGGGGGCCTGGCACTGGAAGACCTGTATTCCAATTCCAGCTTTGCTATTTGTTAGCTGTGTGCCTGCAGGCAAGTACCTAACATCTCTGAGCCTCAGTCTTCTTATCTATAAAATGGAAATAATAATCATAATGATATTTACCCACCAGGTCACAGGGAGGACTAACAGAGATAATGCACAGACACATAGCAAGAGAGACAATAAGGGTGTTGGGGTTTTTTTTTTTTTTTCTTTCTTCCTTGAACTGGAATTGGAACTCGGTGAGAAGAGGGCCATACACTAAGGTTGGACACACACCAAAACTATGGTATGGATCACCAACTGCTGGAAAAATGCGAAGTCCCACAGCAGCTGGCTTGACGTTTCCTGGGTACAAGAAGAGGTACCTTTCAAGACAGCTCTGGCTTGGCCTGTGCAAATACTGAGTAAAGTAACACGCTCCTCACAGAAAATGAAAGCGTCCCTAAAGCCACCTCTGAAACCATGCTTTTGGTACCATAGCTAATCCTGCAAACATGACGCCACCTCTGCTGCCCACCTTGAGGGCTCCTCTCCTCACGCTTGTACCACAGCACAGTGGTGCTTACATCCAGGAGATGCCAGAAGATGAGCTCCTCAAGATGAAGCCACTGCAAGCAATTCTCAGAGCCATGAAGTTTAAGTTAGATGGGGTTTCAAGACACACAGGAGACTTCTTCTAGGATAAATGAATTCCAAAACCTATCTTGGCCCTTCCAACCAGGTCTGTAGCCAGGGCAGCCGCTCCAATTTAAAAATTAACCAGCTGACTGGAATTTAAAATGTGGGCTAGCCAACCAAGTTGCTGCCTCTTTTTTCTTTCTCACCCCAAGAAAAAATTGGAGGTGGGGGAAAGTACTTTTCAACTCACTTTGCTGAAACTGGCACCAATGCTGCTTCTCCACATCTCTGCCAGTTTCCAGATGTTGCTTAGATTTTTTTTTTTAGAAAAATAATGCTAGAGATTTACTAACATTCCAACTTAGAGGATGGATAGTCTCTAGGTTCAAGATTCATGGGTTCTCAGGCCAATAACTATATGTGCTTACTTATGAGGGCTTACATCGATTTTAAAATGAGAGTTGGTGGGGGCTGCCATCTACCTTAGTGGTCTCTGCAATGCTTGAAGAGCCACGCATAGTGTATACATGTCTGCTGAATGAATGAATCAGGCATTTGACCAATTCCTTCAGGTTGGAATCCCTGCTGAGAATCTGCATTTCTAACAAGTTCCCGTAAAGCTGCTGGTTAGGGACCAATTCTGAGAACCACTAGTAGAGCAATGTTTCTCAAAATTTATTACACGTAAGAATCATCTTAGAATCTTGTTAAAATATAGATTCTGATTCAGTATATCTAGGGTGGAAATACAAATTCTCAGCAGGGGTTTGAACCTTGGAACGAACTGGTTCAAAGCTCTGGAATGAATGAACAATCTCTACCAAAAGGAAAACAGCCATTATACACCAGGACATGTACCACTGACTCCCTCTGACACACATCACTTCCACTCTCCTACTGCCCTTCCAGGTCTAGGAGTATGATACAGTCAGCAAGAAGCACACTTTCCTTTCTTCCACCAAACGGGAAGCTAAGATTATAACCTAGATATAACTTCCTCAGGCCTATACTCTTGGGAAATAAATTCCTAATCCCTTCCCTCAGTAATTAAAAGTAAATAAGCAAAATAAATAAATAAACCCTAATTAGTTACATAGGTTTCCCTTTTCTACATACTCCCCCTTCACTCAGTTTTTCTGCCCCAGGTGTATGGCAGTGGGTAGGTCTATAGCCCTGCTCCAGGGCTGGTCAGGGAGGTAGAGACGACACAACCTGGTAAAAGGGCCCTGGATGCTGATCAGTTTGCTCAGTTCCCATTCTCTCACTCCTCAACTCCTACAAATCTGCTTTAAAGAGTTAACATAAGGTGGTGGAAAGGAACTAGTGTCAGGAGCCTGGGTTCTAATATACTGGTAACTTACCATGGAACCCTGGGCAAGTCACTTCTCCCTTCTGAACCACAGTTTCCTCATCTGCCTAAAGTAAGTGGGACATATGCTGGGTTCATCTTCCAGGCTAAATGTGAGGAGGCAAAGGAACTTGAAAAAAATAGTTAAAGTCTCAAAATTTCAAAACAAAATAGCAATATCTTCATTTTTTTCCTAACTCTTGGTCTTCTCTTCCAAGTGGAGGGCAGGGGGGCTTACTGTCTCTGTCCACTCTAAGATACATCTTCATTATAAGAGCCTCTTAGCTGCTCCACCAAAAGGAAGTGATACTTTCCTCTTCCCTTCATGTTTATACCCAAGCCTCCTAGAGCTAGCTGGAAACAAAAGCCAGCTGCCTTCTCCTTTCTAAGGAAAAGGTGCCTCAGCACAGCAGAAAGAGTTCTGGTAAAGAAGCCTGAAGGGCTGGTTCTTGTCCTATCACCAAATGAACCTCAGTATCCTCATCTGTCAAGTGGGTATGAGACTACCTGCCTTGCCTATCTCTCAGGACCTTGGGAGAGCATGGATGGGAGATATGATCTGGTCTTATCATGACCTAGAAACCCTTTCCTGGCCCTCACTCAGGGAGCCTTCTTGGAGATGGAGAAGTAGTGTGGAGGCTGAAGGATGCCTTAGGGCTTCTTCCTCTTTACCTCTGCCACCTGGACAGGGAGAGGCAGGAGAAAGTGGTGCCAGGAGTACTGAAGTTCAAGGCCTCCTCATCTTGTCCACTGATGGCCTGATGGGACAAGGATGTCACAGCTTCCCTCTAGGAAGTGGAGCTCCCACCTAGAAGGGTCTGACAATATCTGCCTTGCCTCCTCACTCCAAGGAGGTAACCAAGGGCCTTAAAGGAAAAGAGATAGACAGCTTGGGAAACTTGAGACAGAAAGGAAGAGAGAGAGAACTACCTGTGAAAGAGGTAAAGAGAAGGCGAGAGAGAGAGACAGGAAGGTACAAACAGGCTGGGAAAGTGAAGAGAATACAGACAAACAGAAAGGAGGGCAGACACGGATGAAGAGATGGAGACAGACTGACAGCGCGGGAGTGTCGGAGGCGGGGAAGACAAAGGGGACCATCCTGTATTTTTAACTGGTCTGGCCTTTTAGAGACGCCTCGTCCCCAAAAGAAAAGCCCCGGGGGCGGGAGGAGGAGGCAGAAGCAAGCAGTGGCTTCTCCGGCCTCCTCCGCCACAGGCGCCCGGTCCCCTCCCCGAGTCCCGGTCCCCGCCCCGGTCCCACCGTCCCTCCCGCCCGCTCGCTCACCTGCCAGCGCCAGGATCTGGGCCTTGTGAAGCAACAGCGCGCCCCAGTCGCGGGGGGCGCGCGGGGGGCTCTCGGGCCCGGCGCCCAGCTCCTCCGGGCCCCGGTACACGGCGTACACCTTCTGGTTGTCAAAATCCAGCCGCGAGCGGGGGCTGAAGTCGCGCACGCACGACACGGGCAGCGCGTAGCAGACGTTGTCCTCCAGGAACCGCACAAAGGCGTACATGGTGAGCGCCGGGGGCGGGCCCCAGTCGGGCCGGTCAGCCCGCGGGGCGGGTGCTGAGGTGGGGACCCCGCGGGGAGCGCGGGGAGCGCGAGCCGCGCAGCCGGGCCGGGGGCGGCTCCCCAGGACCCGGGCTCCCCCCACTGTTATTGTTCCTGAAAGCACCGCTCTGCCAATCGGCTGCTCTCGCCTGGGCGCGGAAAAGGGAGGGAGAGAGAGAAAGGGGGGTTGGGGGCGGATGAGGGGGGTTTGGAAGCGCACCGCCGCTCGCAAAGTCAGACCCGAGCAATCACAGCCGGAGCGAGATTCAGGTAGGGAGGGGAAAGGACAGAGAGGTTGAATTGAAATAATAATAAAAACAATAGTATTGCAGAAAAAATGCATCGACTAAAAGTCGCGCTGCGGGCAGGATTATATTGCATCAACGTCATGCTGCAAAATAAATTGCATTGCAACAAAACTGCAATGCAAAGGAGAGGAGGAATGTGAGAAAATGCAGGCGGGTGGATGGGAGAGGGCAATCTTGTTTGAATCCCAAAGTGTAAACTTGCATTGCAAGCGAACAGAATTTTGGAGTGTTTCATATTTAGCCACTCCACCTCCCACAGCTCCATTAGTTCGCTTTTTTTTTTTTTTTTTTTGCAAAACTGCCAACTCCCTCCGCGAGGTGGGTCAGTCAGACAGAAACGTTCCCCAAGAGCTGCCAAACCAGTTTTGATCAGAACTAGGACTTATCTGGGATTTCCAGTTGAACCAGCTGGCTTGGGTGGTGGAGGGTTTGTCAAGGGCTGCTCTCAGCCTGAGGGAGAAGTGGTGTGGCTATCCCCTGTCATCTACCTCCATTGAGGAACCTCCTCCACAGCGTACCCATGCTGAGCTGGGACCCGTTGGAATGGAGCAGGGAGTGGAGGAGTGCTCTGAGGAAGGCAGGCCCAAGGCTAGTTTGGCATTTCTGGAGAACTTTGAGAAGTTCAGGAATGGGACTCTGTGGTACACCAGTCTTCGTTCTGTCTACCACATCAGAGGAGGTTAGCCTACTTATATCCCCATTGCCTAGCCCAGGACCTGACATTTGGTAGGGGCTCAATAAATTTTGGGTGAGTAATAATAAACATTCACATTTACTCAGCCATCCATCCATTAATTATTTTATCCGAGGAACAAGTATCCATTGAGTACTTACTACATGCCAGGTTCTGGGGTAGGCCCTGAAGGTAGAGAGATGAACAGATAGGACAAAAAACACCTGACTTCCTGGGCCTTGCAGAGTTAGTGTATCAGAACTTGAGTCTCAGTTTTGGATTCTTGTGCCAAAAATAAGCTACTGTATGAACAATACACCTTCCCAGTCTTCTCCACCCTTATCATCTGTTGTGGGAGTATAAAAAGTATAACTAAATAATTATGTTATAGTGATAGAAGTGTTCTATAGAGGAATGCTTAATGGAGGTAGTGGATTCAACTAAATGCTATATATAAAAAGAGAAAGAAAAAACAAGCAGCTAACAAAATAAATGTACTGAAATGTTAACAGTGATTCTCTTGGAGTTTCTTAATAGTGGTGAGTGTTTTCCCTTGTATTGTTATATATATATATACACAATCTTCTGCAGTGAGCAGGCATTACTTCTATAGTCAGAAAATGTTAAGCATTATAATAACAAGGCACTGTGCTCACATTTCAGATCAGCCACACTCATAATGAAGCAAGACAAGTCAAAACTCCCAAGCCATTTTCACTGTGGTTTGGGGAGTATGTTATACAAGTGAACCCTATCAACACATGTTTCCCAGATCCAAAAGCACAGGTTAGATCAAGTTCCTTTAAACCAGCTCACTGCTATGTATACAGTGCCAACCAGGTATGACCATGAGTCATTTTGCTGCAGATGTTGGTCCCACCATGCCCTCCACACACACAAAAAGAGGGCCACTCAGTTGTTTGAGCAGATTCATCTTCATGATTGTGATTTCTTTGGACTAATCTTAAATGGGAGCCCTGGTGGCACAGTGGTTAAGAGCTGAGGCTGTTAACCAAAAGGTTGGCAGTTCGAATCCACCAGCTGCTCCCTGGAAACCCTATGAGGCAGTTCTACTCTGTCCTATAGGGTTGCTATGAGTCAGAGTCGACTTGACGGCAATGGGTTTGGTTTGGTTTTGGTTTAATCTTAAATGAGTTATTTTAAGAATACTTTCCTATGGTGGTCAAGAAGAAGTAATGTGTAGCAAGATTTCCAATAATTTACAAGATGTATCATGCAGAATTGACCACATTTAATGAAAGTTCATCAAGCTGCAGACTATGTTTGCAAAATGATTTCAAGTAGCATCATGGCCAATCTCCTGTCTGCATCTAAATGAGGGTGAACTGAAAATCCATTACTAGTCTCATCTCTCACACCTTCCTGGACACAGTATACTCCAGACACATGAAACTATTTGACATGTCCTAAGACAACATGCTTTTTCAAGCACCAAGCTTTTATGCTTGCTCTGCCCTCAACCTGGACATTCTTCCTCCTGAGTGCATGGTACCTCAGCTAACCCGAAGAACCAGTCTAATGTCATCTCCTTTGTGAAGTCTTTCCCAACTACCTCCATTCCCCAAGCATAGGCAGTCATTTTACTATTTTTCCCAGCACCTTTTATTTTCCTTCATTACAATAAGAGCTCTTTGAGGGCAGACATAAAGACTGAGTAACCTTAGCATCCCAGGTACCTAGCATAGGGCTGAGGAGTAAATGCTTATAAAACATGTATATTAAAGAAAGACACAGAGAGAACAGGAGTAACA